TTTTTAAAATATGTGACAGGGTAGATGGAATAGAAACCCAAAAATGTTATGTAGAGTTCTTCCTCACCCACTGTGTCTCTGCAGGGAGACCTGTTCCACTCAGTGCCTTTCTCACCAGCAGCACATGCAAAGTCTTCTGAGGTCCTCTGTCATTTGTGCCTGTCCCCCATGAAAGCTGCCCCTCGGCCCCTGGCTGCAGGCTCAGTTCCTGCCCAGGCACTGCAGGCTCCATGTGGTGCCCTGTTCCAGCCAGGCTCTCTGGGCTTCAGAAGTGTCTCTCTTGAGCCTTCCCTTTCAACACTCCAGAGGAGGAGCGATTTCTTCTTCCAACAACATGGCTCAAGCTGATCATATCTGTAAAATGCATAATGTATACCAGACAATGACAAAGGCAGGAAACAAAAAAGAACTGATATATCCCCCATTGCAACCACCTAAAATTTCTTACCTACGTAGCTGATAGTTTCATATAAGTTCGCAAAAATGCAGCTTAAAGCTCTTGAAGGGACCAGCAGTGTAAAAGAAAACCCTATATGCTTGCTAAAAAGATTTTTCTTCCAAATGAACCCAAGCATAAATTCACAGTAATCATAGTCATCATTTAAAAAGCTGTAAAATCAAGTAATCTCATCCTCCTTTTACAGCACATAAAAAGCTTTATTTTGATACACACACTAAGCTCCACTGGATAGTGATATTACCTATGGAGAACATAGTATTAATTCCCCATCTGTCTGAAGATCAGAGAAAACTGGTAACAGTCCATGCTACTGAATTTATCTTAATGTTTCTAGTGTATATGTGTTTACTTTGAAGTGTTACTATTTGTGTTTATTTGTCCACCTTTCAGAGACAAAAAAATCTGGATAAACTCTAGGGTAAAAGTACCTTTTATCCTAATGTAAAATGCTCTATTGACACAGCAGTGATATACTTTTGAAAAGTATATCACTAGACAGATGGTCTCGTGTGAGGGATTTCTCAACCCATTAGGCTACTACTCAACATTGTTATTTTATTATGAGAAACAGCTCTTTCTGGCTTCTGCTTTCTCTTCATTTCAAAGAAAATGATACTGATGATATATCAATAGGACCTAGGAGAGAAATCTCGTATGATTTGTATCTTCTTCCATGCTTTTTTGAATCATACTTTCTTAAACATTTATTTTTCCCTAAATCCTTTGGGCTTCAATTCCTAGCCTTTTTCACAGTTGGCACATGAAAATCTTCTGCGGTGACAAAGCTAACATTGGTTTTGCTCTCTAAACAACTGAATGAACTGGTAGTACTGTCTGTGGAAGAACAATAGTGCCCCTATTTATGAGCTGTTAATATTTGAAAGACTCATGACTTGCAGCTCAGAGATTTTACATTGATCTGAGTCAAACAGTGTGCACCTTAGTTGGATGTTTGACACCACTGGTGCCTGTGTTGTAGCTGGTGCAAAATGATTGAAATATGCATGGAAATATGCTCAGTAGGTAGGAGGGAGTTTTTCTTTCAAGAAATATTAATCAGCAAGGAAGCCTACAGAGTTTAAATGATCTGTGAGAGGAGTCCAAGTATAGAAAAGATACAGTCTAATAGCCAGGACCTGTTGATGAAGACTGGAATAAGATTCAACTAAACTGAATCTCTGACAAAGTAAAAAGGCAGCACTTCCAGACAGATATTTCAAAGTGTTTTTATTTAAAAATTCAATAACATTTTTTATGAAAAGCTGATACTATTAATGATACTGTCACATCTAGATAACCAATATGTCTGTCAGTAAGTATTTGAAAGGAAAGCATTCAGGTAACTATGAATGACAGTTAATAAAGTTTGTATTATTAAAAGGCAGAAAGAGACTTTCCATACAAGAGGACAGATACTGAAATTTTATTAATTTTCATTTTAGATGCATTTTAGAAAGCCTGTTTTATATAAGAGAGTGGTTCTCAGTTCATGACAAAACAAAATACGGCTTTTGTGTTGAAACCAATAAATATTCTAGTTCTGAGATTAATTTTTTGTGATAGTAGCAACTGTCCTGCCAGGGAAGATGGTCTGGGAGCTCAGGGCGGGCAGTGGGCACTGGGACAAGGTGAGTAGGGCAGGGACAGTGACAGTGACTGTGAGTAGCCACATCCCAGGGCAAATCCACAGGACATTCACAGGGATGAGGACAGGACAAGGCCACCTTGGAGGATGAGTCAGTGGTTGAGGATGAACAAATGTGAACATAGACACAGACACTATGCTGTGGGCTACAGCATAGCTCAGGCAAGCGTCAGGACATGGATCTGAGCTCACATGCAGCTCCTGCACAAGGAGGGGTCTGGTTAAAGCCCTGGCCAGACTTCTCACTGCTCTTCCTCACACAGATCTGATCCAAGGCTAAGCAGCTGCACTGCCTGCAGCATGGCCTTGAATACAAGCAGACAAAACTCCGGGACAGGGAGAGGGAAAATTCTTGCAGAATCAGCTGCTGCACTACAACAGACCAGTGTATTTTCATGTAGGCTATTGAGTGACCCAATAACAATTTTATCTATTGGCACCAAATCCAAAGACTGAAATTGTCACATCCATTTCAGTTGTTCTCAGCCTCTTGTTTATTGCATTGTTCACCTGTGTTTACTTGCCTGCAGCCCTTTGCAACTCTGCTGTAGTAGAGGAATATCAATTTCAACAATTCTTTTGATGGAGATTTCCAGTGGGAATTGAGAATTTAGAAACTTGTCATGTTGTGTTTACTTTTCATAGAGGCTGATGGGTTTCCAAGAGTACGGACCAGATTGTGAGGGTTTTCTCAAATCAGGAGGCAAAAAAAAAATCATTTTAAAATTAGAATCTATTAAATGTAAAGCTCAAATAGTATTAAACACAGGAAAGAATTTGTATAACATGCCCTGTCTGGATATGTTGAAAATTGTTTTCACAGTGCTTCAGTTTTCTTTGTTAGAGAAAGGAAACAAGAATACCTTATATTTTCTGAAACCCATGTGTTCCCTGTGGGCCTGTATGTCTTCATGTCATCTCTATGCTAGATTTTTCTTCTTCCATTTTTCGGATTCCTGCTTTTCAAGTGTCTGCTATCTAAGCATACCCTTTTTAAAATTGAATGCTGAAATAAGTTTTCTAGGAGCCAGACCTCCCAGGATCCTCCAATATTTTTCAATCTGCTGGACAGACTACTGTCAATCTAATATTTAATGGAAGTCAGAACGACAATGAAAGAAGACATTGCCATGCTTTTGACATAGAATAATTTTGTCCTAAATTAAGATGAAAGTAAATTCCAAAATGTTAAGTTTAACAACAAAACTGAGCTCTTTCTTTCCAGTATGATTCGTTACTGCAGTAACCTGAAAGGCTATGATTTCCACTGCTAATCATGTGATTTCTGTTGTCTTTCCTTTATGATTTAAGATAATGATTTCATTACATCATTTAAATATTTCATTTATTATTTTCTACCCAACATCTGCAGCAGAAGACTCTGAGCAAACTCTCATATTCACGTAGCATTGTGCCTGCATCACTCCTCTCTGGCACTGCAGGAAGCCCAGATCAAGACCATGACATGCTGGCTTTCTGCATTTGAATGGACAGATTGACAAACACTGCTGCGGCTTTCAGATGAAGACTTCTTTTTTTTTTCCTCTGCTCTGAATTTAAATTGTATTTCAAATAAACTGTGAGAAATAAATTGGTTCAGGCAAGATATTAAGATCAGAACTCTCTCCTTTTTAAATTACTTTGTCACTCACTTCAAACTTAAGCTCAAAGCGTTATGTTTCTGTCACACTTCCATTGTTTCTCATAAAGTAGGAATGTATCTTAGTAGTCAAAAATGGGAGACTGGCTTTTACTATTTGCAGTCACCCCTGAATAGTCAGGAGAACCTATGGAAAACCCATGGTTTCTAGCCCTCTAAAGCTTCTTAACAATTTACCTGTTCAGTGTATTATCAAGTTAGCAATAGTTACACTTCCAAAGACATTATGTGCAGAATACTGATGAAAATTGAGGCTGTTTTTTATACCTCATTCTACTTCTATTTTTGCCAATATTGTAGATTAGTTTGAAATTCATTAAAACAGTGTGGCATAACAAACTGCTCAGGTAGGGGCTTTATACCTTTTTATCTTTAATGGCTTTAATGACTACCTTTAATGTCTTTGCTTGTGTCACTGAGAGACAGTTGTGAAAGAGAAATTGCAGCTTTTACTTCCTGGCAGCTAACAAAATTCAGAAAAATTAGATGCCAGTGGTGTTTCTTAGTTTTTTTATGAAAACAGGATTTATGACATTAGGTGGCTGTGTTTCTATATACATGCCAGTGTTGCACTTCTGTATACGCTATTCTGTCAATTCCATTCCCATAATATCTGTTTCACTTGTCCAATCTCAGGCAACTTGACAATGAGCAATTTAAAACATGTTAAATTCCCAGGAGTGCTATGAAAAATATGAGCAGGTAGAGGAAAGAGACTTTTTTAAACCTTCCCTGGGGACAGGAAAATATAGTGCAGGTTCAGCTGGTATAAAATAACATATAGCCTGGTAGAAAAGATAAATTAGGAATAATACAACCAAGACCATATATTTCATTCACAGTACGATACCAAAAGAACCATTTCTCAGTTTAAATTCTTCCCCTTCTATGAAATCTAAGGTGAAAATATGATTTTTTGGGCAGTAAGGATATTGATGTGTTTTTTACCCTTGTCTTCCCTCACTTATGGATTCTCTGATGTCTAGAAAGAATTGAACTCCAACTACAGTCTTGGTATACTCTGGTGTAAAACGCAAGCATCCATAAGAAAAAGATGCTTCAAAAATTAAGTTCTATCACTGCTTTTGCTCACAAAATTGTTTCATACTGTACTAACCATTAAAAGACTGTTGATCAGAGAATAACTGACCCAAAGAAAATAATACATTTAACTCCTGTTCTAAAAGGTGTTTAATGAGTATCACCAGTAATTTTTGCTCATCCTTGTTTTTCAGATGAAGCAGATCGGTCACGATGGTTACAACCCCTCCTCTGTAGCTGAATGGCTGGATTCCATTGAACTGGGTGACTATACCAAATCCTTTCTAATTAATGGCTATACATCGATGGACCTTGTGAAAAAAATATGGGAGATTGAATTAATTAATGTAAGTTGACAAATTTATAGCAGTAGTTCCTCCCAAATACATTATATATTGCTTGTCTTTGCACATCAAGGAGAACGCAGAACAGCAATTTACACCACAGATACAGTCATCAAGTGCTGTTCATGCCTGTAGCAGGATTGATTGTATCTTTTGCTTCCATTTACTTTACCATTGTCTTTAGCATGGTATTCAATCAGCATGATTGTGTTTGCCTTCAGGAGGCTGAATTACATTTAAAAATATATTTTGGGAGTTTATAGCTACAAAGCACACATCTTTGCTTTTAAAGTGACCAAAAACAGGGCATCCTGTAGAGATACTTGTAATTTACTTTTTCTACATGCTCCAGCTGAATTAGACATAAAATAAGGAAACCTTATAGCTAGTAAGATATTCTAAAATAACACAAATTTTTATTTAATTATCACTTTTGCTTGAAACTTCATTTACATGTCTCAGTTTAATTAACGACCACGTATGGGCAACCATAAACTTTAATGTGGACTGCACTGCAGGGTAATTTGGAATGAGAGGAAGTTTGTGCTGTTATGGTGAAGTTTGTAATGTTACAGTGAAGACATTGACTACAACTCGACCAGTGGACTTTTCATGTGTTACATGTCTGAAAGTGACTTGTTTTCTCTTATAAAAGACTGATGACTGTAGTTTTGCTGTGACTTCTGAAATAAATTGTAATGTCAGTTTATATGAACTTTTAGAGCAACCTCTACTTTGGAGAAAAGCCTGGTATCATATGTTATTGATTCTTCACAGACAAAAGGCTCTGCTCTTCCTTCAGATGTAGGAGATACTACATCTCTGCCTCTGATTAGTGCCTGAGTCCCAGAGCAGTCCAAGGGCTACCAGTAACCATAGTCAGCTGGTGTAGTTGTATGCTAGGAAACAGTTCCTACTGTGTCCCAAGCTGGAGAAATGAAGAACATAACTATGGTGCAAAGCCCTGCTGCAACACAGTAACTGCTGCATGAGGCACAGGCAGGTGCAGCCTGGGACCAGCATCTAAACAAAAGAAAAAAAAATCATAAAAGGAGTTATTTCATATGAGTTGGAAGACAAAACCATTGAATGCTAGAATTTCCTTTCTCACTGTCACAGCTGATGTTAACTAGCACAAAAATGTAGTGTAAGGGCCAAACTCTGTCTCATTTAATGTATCTTGTAGGTACATAATTGAAGTTAGGATATGATTGATGCATTACGGATGTCTGCTGCTGAGCTAATTGTAACTGGGATTCTCTTTTCTCTAAATGGTTGGAATTATAATAAGAACAGGGGACCCTTTGCCTCAGAAGCTGATATAGATCAACCAGCACTGAATCGAAAAAAGTAGATCATTCTGCTCTTACTGTTTTATCTAATTTTGCATCCCATTTTGCCACAATCAATTTGAAAACAAATTACCCTTTAGCTCCCCCAAGTGGATCATTAAAATGTCATTAAAGGTTTGTGGTTTGATTTCAAACTTGCGTAAGATGATGAAAAGGGGAGTATATGCACTGAAGTTAACAGGAATAAATTTCTGTAAAGCTAGTATAAACCAAACCCCTATGTCCCTCTAACTTTAAAGCTTAACATTATGCTTCATTTGAAGGTCTGTAGTTCTTGGGAAAAGACCCCCTTTTGCCATGAGTTGCAAGAAGAAGCTGGTTACTAGTTGTATAATTACTTCTATAGATATAGAAATCTATAGAGATAAATATTTTTTTTCCACCTGATATGTTTGAATTATATTGTTCAAGAGCAGAGTTAATAAAAGAGTTTTGCCTTATAAGAATTACAGTTTTAGTCCTGGCATATTTGATTCCCCCCAATTGGTAGGAGCTCAATGTAATGATATTATGTTCACTGAGAAAATCTGTAGCTTAGAAAGGTATTGACTATTACTATTTTCTTTCAATTGAGGGGAATCTTTCAGAAATGGACAAGAAATTGGTTTGAAGCATTGTGCAGTCTGTCAGAACGAGATACTTAGCTCTGACCAGCAGGCCTGCTGTCTGAAATTGATTTCAAAGGTCTTACTTCTTCAGATGATGGCAAAGAAAAGCTTATGGCAGAAAGTTTTAGTGAAAGAATGTATAAAGGTCAAAGCCACTAAGTCAGGAACAGGACTCCTCACTTGAGTAGGTCAAAATCCAGGCACTTGAAAAACAAGAGAAAAAACAGACTCAGAATCCTAAAAATAATTCAGAGCACCCTTAGTTTGGTGGCTCTTGATGCTTAAGTTGTAAATGGAACAAGAAGCTTAAATTAAAGTTGTGCCTAATATGCAATAAAAATCTATCAAGGGCTACAGAAATTATAACTTCTTCATTTTGGCTTTTTAATCAGTTTCAGCCACCGAATTTGACATAAAAGCTATACCTAATTTGGTTCAAGGAATCCCTTTGTTCATATTTGATGATTCTTTCCATTTAGCTATTGGGATATCAACCATGGGTCCTGAAGGGGTTGAAACAAGTTTGATGCTAGAGATAGTATCTTCTGTTTGGATCCCTTTCTACAAGAAGCAGGTTGAGGTTCTGGAGTGTATCCTGAAAGTTGGGGAAGGGTGTGGAACACACATTCTATGATGGGTGGCTGAGGGATCTGGGGTTGTTCAGTCTGGAGAAAAGGAGGCTCAGGGAGACCTTTTCACCCTACACCTACCTGAAAGGAGGCTGTAGCAAGGTCAGTCTCTTCTCCCAGGTAAAAAACAATGGAATAAGAGGAAATGGCCTCAAGGCTCATGTTGAATACTAGATAAAAATTCTTCACTAAAAGGAAAGAGTTGTCAAGCATTGGAACAGACTGCCCAGGAAACTCACCAGGGCTGAGTCACCATCCCTGGGGACATTTCAAAAACATGTAGGTGTGGCATTTAGAGATATGGTTTTGTGAGGCTTGGCAGTGTTAGGTTTATGGTGGAACTCAATGAACCTAAAGGTCTTTTAAAACTTAAATGATTCTGCGATTAAAGTTATCCTTCGTGATTTACCCTTTATTCCCAGAGGACACTGGAATGATCAGAACTTTAAATCTTCTTCTCTTCCTAAAAAGAACAGATCTTACTTTATTTCCAACACACTTTTATTATTCTTGTAAATTATCATCTAGGTAAGCACATTTAGAACGACTGTGAGGAGAGCACCAAGCATATGAGAGGGAGAATGTCTGAGGCACTGGTGGTGCATCTTCCCTCAGCTTTTCTGCTCCCCCAGCCAGCTCTCTGACATTAAGAAACAAATTGAATAATCAGCTTCTTCAAATTTATTTCAAATTATTCCAGCAAGGTAGTGTAATATCTGACTTACATGCTAGTTTCTTTCAAACTTTTATGTGTACATAAAGCATGTGTTTCTTCAAATGCAATCAAGCAGGAATTTCTAAAAGCATTTGAATCAATAGAGTAATCTTAAAAGTTATTCACTTCTGTTTCTTGTAAGGTCCCACTAGCATTCTAAGTCCTTCCTCAACAAGTCAGACTTTGAAATTTAGATTTTGTTTCACTAATTAATTTTTCAATTAGATCATTTAGAATTTTCCCAGATCCATTTCCTTCTGTGATATGCTTTCTGGGAAGCATTGTTCTAATTTCCTTATCCTAGGATTATAAGTATTCAGAATGCCTTCTCCTAGATTAGGCTTTACCCACACTTCTGCTTTTGTCTCCCAGTTTTCTTGGCTCATAAGAGAGATCAGATTCTGTATCAAGATTCAGATATAATTTATTCAATGGTGCAGCTATGAGGAACTTTTCAGAAATACATATCTTCTGCTGAAAAAAAAAGTCCAGTATGTTCTATAATCCCCTAACCCACCTGTGTACCTGTGCTTTGATGACTAATCATATTATTCTTGTCTGTTATTCTGGATTACTTACGTAACCCTCCCCCTGTGGGACTCACTCTTTTCAGGGAACTTTTACCATAGAGATTCTTCAGGCAAGATATAAACACCTTAAAAGCACAAAGCAGGTTATTTGTCGTGTAACGCACAATATATTGTAGGACTAATGAACCAGGCATTAAATCAACCCCCACCGAATGAGTCACTCAGTATAATGGGCAAGTAGTCATCACTCAGGTAAGGGGAGAGCTGGCCTCTGGGGCTCACTGGAACAGACTGATTTGTGGTAGTGCTGAGCTGCTATCTTCTGATTTACCTTTATTTTTTCTTCTTAGGATTTTATGCCTCTTCATGTGAGTGTTGTTCCTTGAATCCTTAGGGCGCCAGTTTTCTTGTCTCAACAATCTTACTTGTGTCTGCAACTTTACCTTTCTTATCTCGAATGCTTCCAGCCTGTGCACTCCCTCACAGCTCCCTCTCACGCCCTAGCAATTTTCTCAGAAGGAAACTGAGAACAGTTGCAAGCTGCGCTGTACTGAAAGTAGGTCTGGAATCACAGATAGTTGGACTCCTGGGAGGAGGGTTACATGGAAGTGGCCTGGTTTACATTTCTTCTCAATTAATTCATCTTGCACTCTGAGTTTCTTTTCTCATACATACTTCTTTCACACGAGTGATTCAGTCTTTGTCTTCTGTAAAATTAATCTTTATCATATTGGCTCAGTTACTGTCCAGATTTTGAACTTTTTGAGAAGTGTCCTTGAAAATCTCTCACAAATTGCACTCCTGATTTCTCTTAGGATATAATGATTGCTGTTCAGGATCAGAGGAAAAATACTAGAGAGAGAAATTAGTTAGAACTGCCTTCCATTAGTTTACAGCTAAATACTTTGGACCTTTCACAAGATGCTGGTGAGTCCCACAATTTAGTTAAATTATAGTGTGTGGAAAAGTGACTCTATAGTTTTATTTAAAGTGGGTACATGATTATTGAAGCCCACGATGTTTTTACTATAGGAATGGAAGAGCCTAACAGCAGCCATAGTGAAGCAGATCAGTGGGTCTACCTAACCCACTGTAATGTCTATAAAAATTACCATAAACACAGGACAAGGGAAGGCTACGTAACAAGTATAAAAACAAGCATATTATTA